GCAGCCCACAAGAAGCATAGGAAAAGAGTTGAGCCTTGATGTGTGGCTCAAACTCTATTTGAGGTGTGCCTGGACTATAAAAAGCAACACAGCAGACTGCAGGCTATAGACCTGGCTTCAGCCTCCTGCACATTGAGTGCAGTCCATTTGAAGCAGTGGCTGGAGGTGTTTCCGGAAACCTCCTCAAGATCAGCATCTTCAATGTCATTGGTTAGTTTTACTGCACTGTTATAGCGTGCAACCATTTCTCCCCTTCTCCTTTATTTCGTATAACCCTGATCAAGTGATAACCACCAGTGGTGGTTTTAATGGATGAATCTAGTTGTGATGCTGCATCTAACTCAAAGTGAATTTGGGGAGACAAAAACCAATAGCCAAGGGCTAATTTGAGCATCTACCCACCTAACCACAGTACGGGTCAAGGTCTGACTCAAGTCAAGTTAAGAAACTAACATCTGCAGTCAGTATGAAAATATGATTATGAGTCAATTATCTTATTTCATAAATACCAGAGAACCAGGGCCTGCTGAGCTCTCCTTCACAGCAGCAGGCTGCATGCCAGGATCTCTCCTTTAGCAGGAACACTTCTCAAGGTTACTTCTTGAGGTTGAGAGAGTCCTTATAGCATCAGGTACTTGGTAAGTCAACCGGGGATAAGTGCACTGAAATTCTGAAATCTTAGGTAAGTGATATAAAGCTTTGATTGTATACACGTACTATCCTTTACACATAAACTGTTAAGCTAAGTCTGCATACAGCTGCACTTAAACTCCCCTCTGAGAAGGAGCTGAGAATGCAGTTTCTGAATTTCATGACTCAATGGGAGGGTCTCCCTGACAGTTTTGTCTTATCCTGTCCTCTTTGCAGTAACTAATCAAGTGTACCTTGCCATTGAGTCTTGTTAAACCACTGTCACATTTACTATCGTATTTTCTAAATTGCTGTTTTATATCAATAAGCATATTGGTATTTCTGTCTTACGAGTGAAGTTCGTCACTCTGTCAACGACACGTATGTGGTACAGAAAAGTGGTCTGCTTCCTTAGGGAAGTGGTTGTACAGGCTCTGTACAGGCAGACCCTCATAGACCAAAATAATATTTGTGGTCAAGAAAAAGACTAATGATCACAGCAGAATCCATATCCAAAAGTTAAAATCTCACAGCTTTATTTATTTAATAACAAAAAAATATTAAACAGGCTCTCAAAAAAACGCTGCTATTTCATCATTCTTTAACAGCCAGGATCTCATAATGTCATCAAGCAGCAAACTGTAACAATAATGTCCCCACAAAGCCTTAATAAAGGCAGATATCACTCTCTCCATCTCTCCTGATGGAGCTGTTCCATTTTTTATACATATTTAAATATTAATTTGACAAGAGGGAGAGACTGACAGTAGCTCAGTACTGCAGATAGTCGCAAGGGATCTCTCAGACCCAGATTCAAGCTCTCTCATGGAATAATACAAAGTATTTCTCTAGGGTTTGCATCAGAATTTTTTAATCTGTTCGAGGACACATTGCTGGTCAAGAAAAAGAGAGATAGGATAAGACCTGCTCTGGAACAGTGAGTAGTTCAGTTACAGAGCGTTCACCTGGGAAGTGAAGGAGATGCTCTTAACCTGAGTTCCTTACCTAATGGCTGTTGGAGCAAAGTTCCCTCAAACTTTCCCAATGCCTGCATCCCTCCATGGGAAAAAAAGAAAGTCACCCTGGCCCAGAAAGGATCCCTACCACCTGAGCCAAATTCTCTGAAACATTTTGAGAGGTCAGAATTTCTTGGTGGAAAACATTCTACTGGAAAGTTCCCAACCATCTCTATTTAAAACAGTGCTGGCTGTAATTTCTCAGAGTTTAATTCAACCAAGATACAGTTCAAACCCTCGTGATTGTACATAACATCTTCAGAGTTCAAAAAATCAATAAATTCTTTTTTATTTAAGTGAAGACCAGCATTACTAAACAATTTATTTTCATTGAAACTGTTGAAAATGCAGCTGGGACAGACATTTTTCAAGAGGACTTTCTGTATCAGCACCAGATGTAGCTGAAGATTTTGAATTCACTAATAGATCCCTTATTCATAGTCCTCCCTGGTTAATTTTTTTACTCTATTTCAGGAAGGAGAAAAGAAGAGTAGCTTGGCTTGCTCTAGTCCCCAAGCTACACTAGTTAAACTAACAGCACAACACTGCATGTGAGCACTTTATCAAGGCTTATATGAGTTTGACTTGCCCTTGTAAATGTAAAGTAGCTTCCATTTTTTAAAACTAACTCAATTTATATCTGCACACCAATTTAATTTAGATGTATGCCACTTTTCTGTTTAGGAACTGGAATTCACTGGAATTGGCAGAGGGGAGCTTTGACACAGACAGAAAAAGAGATGAAGATTGAAAAGTAGGAAAAGAAAAGTAAGCTAGTAAGAGAGAGGAGAGATAACAAGAAACTGGGTGGAAAGTTGTTGCAAGACAGCTGGAAATCCTTTGAGTAAAACACTGCTGGCCACTCACAGACAGAAAAATGCTGCCATAAGAAGAGACAATTACAGAATCAAGAAGCAAAGAAACATACCCAGGGATCTGAATTGCTGAAAAACTGGCAAATAAATCCCAGATTTTGATAGGAATTTTTTTTTTTTTTTTAAAAAAAAGAAGTTAAAAATCAGCTTGGAGGCTATTCCTGTGTGCCTTTAGCATGTTCCAGTAGTTTCAAGTCCTGTTTCAGGAAGGACCTGACTACACATTTGAGTTATCCAGGTGCTTCAAAGGCTCTAGCAAATTCCACTTTTTCCTTCCTGGTTTTGTCAGAGAATCACAGCTCGTTATCGATGTCAGTACAATGTTTTCACAAGCTTTGCAATAGACTCTGCTAGGAATTAAAATAGCCTCCAAAGCCCTGGAATTACTTTGTGCTCTCTTGTGACTTCATTTCCAAAGCTGCATGTTTTTATACTACACTGCTTTCAGTTCCCCATGCCCATGTACAGAGAGATATGCTGTCCTCTATTAGTAAGCCTAGCATGCCTCTGTATCTGTGCTGGTTTAGGTGAAGAATATAGTAGTAACTGCATAAGAAGTTTAGGTCAGAGGCTGGGATTTTGCTGTGCAAAAGATCTAGAGGCTTGACCTCAGACAAAAAAAAAGCATATTAACTAGGTGGTAAGCTTTTAGTTTAGAAGAGCAGTTTAAAACTATGTAGGGCTTTTTGCTTCATACCACTCACACAGGCTCAACAGAGAGATCAAGAAATTCTTACTAAAATTATGCAACAAATGGCTAAAAAGCTCAAGTATGCCTTGTTGGTTTTTTAAGACAAGAGTGCTGAGAGGGATGCTCAGTTTTTTAACAGGAGGAAATATTTTCTCATGAACTATAAATTGCATTTGGAACATTGGGAGTACCATATTTTCTGGTGAAAGCAGAAGAACACTATGCATAGCAAAGAACTAGTTACTGAGGTTCTTATGATCTAAAATAAAAATAAAATAAAAAATAAATAGTCCCTTTTTTTTGTCAGACACCATCTTAAAGATACCATCAGCATTAGTCAGAGACTACACTTCAGGCACCACACTAGTTTCTTACAGCCATCTAAGAGCCCATTCAACTTCCATAGTCAGAGGAAGGTAGATCAGGCTCCGCCTTTCTGTTTGCATGGAATACAAGGTCTTGAGCTGCATAGATTTTTGGCTGTCTCCCTGCATGGGGGGCTTCCAGGGGTGCCTGCCACTGGCAGCTCCCTCTCTGTCTAGCTCAGGAGCTGGCAGTCTTATCATAACTTCTGTGGCACACTGAGCTGTATATTTGGGTTATTTATATCTCCATTCACTTCTCTTCCACACCCCTGCCTGGCAACAAAATAAAAAACAGTGAAGCAGCATAAAGGTTAAATTGATCACCGCTTGGGTTTTCTATGGTATCACCTTCATCCTCATCCCTTCCATCTTCAGGGCACACAAACCCAGTTCTTAAGCAAACTGAATCAAAACTAACTTAGGTGACTCATAGAAAGCTACAGATCCCAAAGAGCTGGAGATTAACTGAATTCTAATTATATCAAGAACCACAGAAATGTGGACTTCACTGTTTTTTCTTTTTTGTTATTTTGATACCTTTTTAACACAATATAATACTAAAATAAAACAAAAATAATCTAAGCTCACATCTAACCCCCCCCCATGGTGTTTTAAAGATTAAAAAGCAATAAGATAATAAAGAATGCAAATGTTCAGACAGCTGCTTATGGAGAGATGCTGTTTGAAGTAGCAATTCTCTCTCCCTCTGCTGCAGCTGGGCTGCTCTTAATTATTAGCAAGGAAAATAACAGGTTCAGTAAATGTGGGCGCAAGTTCATTTTCACCATCAGTTGACTTCTGCAACTTTCACAACAACACTGCATTTGAGAATATGGACAAGTTTACACTAATGATGATTACTGCTGCAATTCTGAATATTAAATAGAGCATAGCGGATAGTATGAAGGGTGCTTTTGGATCACAATCATGAGGACTATCGCAAAACACTACTTTAAAAATTGACATTCAATCCCCAGGTTTTGCACACACCCCAGTGGCCTTAGACAAGGACATGTTATTTACAACCACTCAGACAGATTTCTGGTCTGTTTTTCCAAAAGGCTGCAATAGCACCTCAGTTTGAACATAAGGCAGAGCAACTGCACTTAGGGGCATGAGATCCCCATCATATGCACAGAGAGATGGGAGAAGCTGCAAATGAAGCTTGCTACTCTGCCTGACCTGCCCCAGGAGCAGAGGGAGTTGGGTGCAGATCTGCCTTTAGAGCAGAAGAGAAAATAAGAAGCAACTTGTCAATATCAAACTAAGGCTTAAATCTAAAGGATCATTTTCACCTTTTCTGCTACATGTGAGATGAAAAACTGTTACATACCTTACTATTCAGTAGACTATGGTAAACCAAGAGAGGATGGCAAAGAGAGTGACATATACAGATAGATGTGTACCTAAGTCAATCACTTACTTTGGGTTTCCAGCCCCTGGCTTCTTTCTCCGGAATATGTTGAGGAAAGTGTTGGACTTGCAAGGTGCCTTGCCATCCCCGACATGCATACGCACCACATCTGAGGTGGTGAAGGCACTGCGGACATTCCTCTCAGGCTTGGCTATGATGATGTACATCTTAGGAGTGAACATGCACCCCAGTGCCACTGTCACGCTCAGGCTCACTGCAAAACATGTGGTGATGATCTTGTAGTTGCTCCCAAAATAGATAGGCACAAAGGCCAGCCAGATGATACAAGTGGTGTACATGGTGAATGCAATGTACTTTGCCTCATTGAAATTGGCAGGCACATTGCGAGTCTTGAAGGCATAGTACGTGCAACTCATGATGAGGAGTCCATTGTAGCCCACAGGAGCCACGACACCCAGGTTGCTGGTGTTGCAGATAAGGTAAACTTCCTTAATGCTGGGGTAGGAGAGGATGGGCATTGGGGGCTCCAGGATGATCAGCGTGATCACCAGTGTCAGCTGTACACTGATCAGAATGGAGGCAATGACCACTTGGGCCCATGCACTCATGAAACGTGGCTTGCGAGTACAGATCTTCTTTTTGCTGCCTGCCAGGATGCGTGCAATGCGGTTGGTTTTGGTCACAAGTGCAGAATAGCACATGGCAGAGGAGAGACCCACCAGAAGGCGCTGGAGGTAGCAGGATGTTGTGGTGGGTTTAGCTATAAGGGTGAAAGGGCAGACATAACCCAAAAAAATGCCAGCAAGGATAATGTAGCAAAGCTCCCGGCTGGAGGATTTGACAACAGGGGTGTCCCTGTAGAGCACAAAGATAAGGGTGACAAACATGGTGACCAGGATCCCCAGGCAGGAAAAGACCACAGCCACAATTGACTCTATATTGCTCCACTGGAGGTACTTTACGGGGATGGGTTCACAGCCTGCAGTGTACAGAAAAGAAACAGAGTGTTAGAAAGGTAGCTGCTTGAAGAACTAACTTTTTTTTCCTGGCTCCCAATAGTTTATGCCTATGTGCCATGGGTTATTGAAATCATTTTACAATGGAGTGAACTCCAGCATGGAGAAGTTTGGATAAAATATGTTAAAAAAACAGCCAACAGTTTTGGGTGTCCCAAATGTTTGCTTATTGTCCTACAAAGGGAAATCAGATTGGGAACATTTTTTTTATAATTTTTCTGGAGAAAGCTGCTGACAAGCCCAGCACATCAAAGGCGGAGCTGGGAATACAGCCCAGACAAACTCAGCACCGTCCCTTCATTTGAGAGAGAAAGGATTGTTACAAATCAGAATGGGTAGTTTTTTGACCTCCTCAGACTAACTTATTTTAATCTTTATCAAAATTACTGTAACTTGACCCACTACATTTTTGTGAAGGTGATTTTATAAACAATAGAATTAATTAGAGATACGCATGCCTTCAAAAATACTGGAAAGGCTCTCTTTTATGACTAGTGCAGATGTGCGAACATATGTATCCGCTAATATGGTACTTAACTGCTCTCTCTCACACAGAAGAAGTCTCTGGCTACTTTCCTCAATGTGCTGAAGATGTAATATCACCAATAAGCATTACAGAGAAAATAAATTCCTCTGTGTTGATATTATGGTTGTGAAACTGAAAACCTCAGTTCTGGCATTCATTCATTTCTGTTCTTAACTTAATAGTGCCAAAATGCTTTTAACATGTTTCTGTATCCCAAGATAAGTATCCAGATGGCCTTTACTACTTTCTCTTTCGGTCCTATTCCAGTTTCTCTTGGATCCAGCTCACCTATTATGCCTTTCCTCCACCTCTCAAGTCTTTCCCCCTAGTCCCTCACCATCCTCATTCCAGGTCCCCTTTCAGTGCAGTTTCTTCCTAGCCAGTCACCTCTCCACCCATATCTCCGTTACTGATACTGCCAGTCCAGCTTTGCATGTCCGGGACCAGTTGCCCATCACTTCTTCCTGTCTGGGTTTTTGGACATGGCTGAGAAGAGCAGGGAAAAAGCAGTTATGTCAGTGAGCTTGTAAGGGAGGCATTCTTTTCCCCTCCATTTTGCTGCAGATTCTTAGCAAGGGACCTGATATTGTGATAAGCAAAAGTCACACTCAGCCTCTTCCTCATCAGTATGGAGTGTACCTTCAGTAACCAGCCTCTGTGAACTAAGAGCTTCCAAGGCCACACTTTTGCTCAGTGTATATGAGTCTTCCACAGGGTGACATGAAATTACCATCCGATATCTCAACCAAAAAGTCCTTCCTTCCAAATGATAGAGAAGTAAGCAGAGGCATGGATCAGAGTTGAAAAGTTTTACTGTAACCTCATTTTGAGAAATAGAAGAAAAAAATGTTTCGTGTTTAAATTAAAAAAAAAAATAAAACAAATAAGAAAACCAGCCTGAGGCAAAGTCATGACAAGGAAAGATTCTGCTTGAACATGTAAGGTCTGCCAATGCCATAAGAGCTGAAAAAATGTCTTTTAATTCTGTACCCTTTGTCTCTAAGAGGACTGGGCTGATTTAGCTACAAGTAACGATGTTACAGTTACCTGAAACATCAAAAAAAAGAAAAATTAGAAATGATAGTATGTGTAACTAGAGGTTTTATTTTATAAAGAAAATCAATTCTATTTTGATCAAAGTGGTTTGTACAAGACTCAGATAGGTGAGAACACTTGTTCTTCCAACCACTGTTTTTATGGTGAAGTATGAAGGAAAAGCATTTTATTAGAAGGGGGTAAGCTCTGGTCATTGGCCAGAGCAGCCCTGGGTAGAAGTTGGCTTCTTCTTTGATTTAATAAAAGACTAAGAATCAGAAACTTCTGTTCTTTGATTAATACATGCAAAGCTCTTAAACAAGAAATGAGTTTGTGATTGCTGGGAGGGTTAAGTTTAAATGTGGGCTTTAAGCTTAGCAGCATCAAGCCACACTCATATTATTCCATTTTAAATGATGTTTTCAGAGCCTTAACCCTGATTCAGCATGGTAATTAAGCCTATTGATTGCTTTAAACTTATCCTGTGTAAGGTCTCAGTAATCTGTTTCATGAAATCAGTGTCATTCTTGTGCGCCAGCAAGCCCCATGAGCCAGATATGCTACAAACTCTGCAAAAAGCTGCCTACCGCTTATTATCAGCAAACAGTTGTTGGTTGTCAGCCCCTGTGAAGGTGGGTCATTTCCCAGCTAGGAGAAAGTGGGCTGGGGAACCTTGCTGAAACTGGGGGAGGATATCCAGGAAATGGTGTTCTTACAGGTTTTTAAAAAACAACAGTCAACAAAACCCACAAAAATTCTCTCTCCCAAGCCGCACAACAACTAACTCAAACCTGAAAAAGCAGAGAACTAGCTGCAAAAGCTTCACAGTTAAAAGTTTCCAGTAAAAAGCTGTTTTGCAGCTTTCACCTACCATTTTCCCTGCACTTTAACCATAAATCATTTCCTAGAGCAGAAAGCTAATCATTTTTTAAATTATTTTTTTAAATCGCATTCATAATGCAAGGCCAATAAGACAATCCGGGATGTTTTCTGAGGTCATTAATACATCCCAGGTAACTGATGACCCCAAACCTTTATGATTAATTTTATCATAACTCCATAAAACTCCCTGTCTTATATTGTTTTATTGCTTATTTAAGATGATTTATGTAAACTGGGTTTACTAGCTTGACATTCATTCTTCTTACATTAGATTCTGATACTATAACAGATAGCTCTTCTTCTTGGCACAAGGCTTTAAGGTACTGGTTTTAGCGACTATTTGTCAGGTCAGGATTTTATCATCTGTGGTGAGAAATCCTTTGTGCCTGCTGACTCCAAGTCACTGAACAAATATTTAGGGGAAGCAATCTAAAAAAAAACCTGTACATTTAAAAATAAAATTTAAATGTCAGGAATGCTGAGCAACAGAGATTGATTTCAAATGGAGAGAATGAGCACCTTGACAAACGTGTCTTGGGAAATGGGTTAGTATGTGCTTTACATGTCTTAAAGGGACTGAGGATTTTAAAGCCTCCATCTGTGATGGAAATTGAGACTGCATAAAACTGCATACATGTTTAGCATTTAAGATTTAAGGCAAAGGGAAAAACAATCTGAAATGTGAGATGTTAACGTCTGTGTCTAGATGCTATGGTGACTAGCAGGATATGAAAACAACACACAAAAGCAAGCTATAAAAAACACATTTGATGGGAGAAATCCTGGCAAGAAAAGAGAATTTCAAATTAAACGGTACTGATGGTGACTCCCACAAAGTTCAAGAGCTGGAGTTTATCTAGCTCAGTCTCCCTTTTCTAAAGGTTAGGATGGCATCATGTTCTTTTCACAAATTTGTACTTTGTACTGCATTGCAGGTAAATGAATTGCAGGGGTTAAAAAAAAAGAAGTTTTTCCTCAATAAGACAGAATGAAGAAGCTGTGCAGGAGCAGACTACCATTTTGATGTTCTCTAGGAAATCAGTTGATGGCTATGCTGTCATTTGGCTGATGCTACTGTGATTTTAGAACAGCAGTAGTCCAGCCTCCCTGCTGAGAAGAAACACAAATCAGCAGGTCATCTACTGATTTCATTAAAACTTAATAGATTGCAACATGCCCCTGAGATTTTTTTCTTGCACTGATGCTTTCCTCAACTCTTTTCAGCAGTACCTGTCATTTTGACATGCCCCCTTTTGAGCTATTTTGGGCAGCTCGTAGCAGTGAACAATATTTGCTCAAGTGCGCATTGATCTCTCACTATGCTCTTGTTCTGCTTTATTGATTAAGAAGAGGTACCAGTTTTCTTCCCTGAATAGTGAATACAAACAATTTCATGAACCTCTAAGACTAACAGAATCCGGTGGTCTAGGGATATCTGCTTTAAAATTAGCAGACACTGATGTGCTAGGAGGTGGGAATTGAATATAAGCTTTCCCAGTTGTAAGGACATTTATGAAGGGTGCCAGGGATTTTCTAGTGTCTATTAAGACAAGAAATTTTTCCACAACTGGGGCCCTTACAGAAGGTATTTTTCAAGAGCTCCTCTTCCTACAACCCACTTACACAAAACTTGAAGGGATTGAATGATCACTGTATCTTGACAAATCTGTTTGAAGTAGGTTCAGTTTCACACCGTGAAGAAAAGGAGGGGGCCAGGTTGTGGTGAGAAGCATGGGATACAGACAGATAAACACACATTTGGGACATGACCATACCTTGTTTTCCATACAAACCCAAAATAGACAATGGATCAAGTTTCCCAGTTTATTGTGATTAATACTCTATTTTTACCTGGAGAAATGTCCAGTTTTCCCCCTCAAAATAAATCCTCTAAAAGCTCACTTGGCTTCAGTGACTAGCTTAACAATATCTCTTGGAACTATTTAATCAAGATTTGAGTGCTTCCTTTATGTGTTAAATGGTGCAGCAACATCTAGTTGCCAGGCAGTCATGTGAAAGGACAAAGACGTGGTAAGTTGCAATTCGGTCTTCAGACAGGTGGTCAGACTGTTTCTCCAACTAGAATGATGCTCTGCTGAATACTGTCAGCCAGATTTGCAGATGCAATATGGGGCAGAGGTGCCAGAGGTCTTTTACAATAAAAAAGCAAACCCCGAGGTCAAAGTGGTGCTTTTCCGTGCATTAATTCTATTTTCTCAGGCTAATGGTTACTGCAAAGCCCAGTGTAGGTGCGGAGGTTGACCTTGATACAAAATAACAGGAAGATGCTATGGCATAAAATTCATCCAAAGCATATATACAGGAGAAACCAATTCTAGCCTTTTCCCCTTCTTCTAGCAGCCTTTCTTAGGATTTTGTTGACAGTATTGCTAGTGAATGCAGTGAGAGTGACCTTTATACCAAGTCTGGTAGTCAGTTACTAAATGGCCTGAAATCCCAGAGAAAGTATTACTAATTGCATGGTAGGAAAATCAGAAAGAGTATCAAGACAATCTTACAAGGATATACTGAGCTCTTGTGATAATCACTGATAAAATTGCACCAAATGCTGCTGAATTCATTAGTACTCTTAACAGCTTTATCAATGCTTATGCTAAATGAAGAGGAAGAACAGACAGACAATATCATTTCTTATTAGTAGAAATTTTATCATCTCTATTGTCTCTATGGTTGAACTAAGCAAAAAGATATAGCACATACATGCTAGTCGGCATTGGGGTGTGTGTTCAAGCATGTGCCTTTAATATCTCTGTATGCTGCTACCTTACTCTCCACCCCACACAGTTCTCCTTGTGCCCTACAAAATGGGAGTGCACATCCCTACCTGCCAGGTCAGCATTCGGCCACCAGCCAAGCTCACAGGCTTTACATGTGAATTCATCCTGAACAAATTCATTCTCCTTGCAAGCAGTGCAAATCCAGCAGCAGCTCACTTCTCCTTTCCTGATCACCTGTAATGGAAAAATCCATCCTCCTACAATCATCTGTAAGACAACAGAGAAGCCTCCTCCCACCCCAGCAAACAGATGTGACCTGCACTGTTTGAAATATGACAGGATTCCTGTGTACAGCACATTTCAAACAACAAGAAAACACGAAGCTTGATTCTGTATCTACTCCTGCATATTAAAATTTGTGCTTAGGAGTTCAAGAATAATCTCTAGGGACTCTCTTGGGACTCTCTCTATTTTGTTTTGGGGGCACAGCACTGAGTTGAAAGTACAAAACCATTTTCTCTTTGGTAAAGAGGCATGGTGAGTGTTATATTTTCAATCAAACTTGAGAAGAGGCTTAATCTGAGAGATTGTTCAGGTCAGAACAAGTAGGTCAGCCCACACTTAATATATATTGCATAGTAAAAAGCAGTAAACAAAGTCAAAGGTTAGAACAAAGAGTGATTCATGCATATATATGTATATACACAAGCATATGCACACACACATAAATTCCAATTTATATGGAATTCTCTGTGGGACTCATTACACTATTGTAAATAGAAATTCAAATAAAGTCAAATTAAAATATGCTAAAAGGACCTAACTGGTCCTACTAGAAAATAAAACAAGTATGTGGTGACCAACAAAATGCTTGGAACAGCTCTTTTGGAGACAAATGTTCCTGAAAGCTGTATTTTTCTCTGCTGTGAAAGCTGGTGAGTGCAATGTTGAAAAGGTGGCTTCCTTGTCTTGACTCCTAGTTTCATTATGCTGAGGCTGAAAGAAAAATTAAGGATATCTTGAGCTCTTAGAGCAACAAAGACTGGCTCAGTTTGCCAGAAAGGAGGAATCTAGCCATTTCTGTAGCATCTTCATATAGCATCTATATGCAGAGCTAAGTGTAGTAGTGAGATACAAAATGTTTGTTTTATTGAGTGCTGGCTTTGTGCGCTTTTTTTGTTAACATTTCCTCCTGCAGTCTGTGGAGAGAGTCCAATAGACTTCAATGGAAGCCGAAACTGGCATTTTGGATGCATGGTGTTTACATATACACACATACACAAACTGCACAATCACAAAAACACAGAAAAGATGTTTTGGAGGGTAGTAAATACTGATATTTGTTGAGTATGTCACTATGCCTTTGCCAAATCATCAATCACTTATTGAATTAGAGTAGCAATATAAAATTAAAATGCTGCAAATGTGCTTATTGAATGAATTTAGATAGGAAGGTCTGCTCTAAGGTGATTTTCCCAAATGGCTTTTTGCCATTTTTAACTTACTGCATCTGTACCATTTTGACAGTGGTGCAACATGTCTTTATGTCATCTAGACACTGCAGGTGGAAAATTATTTGTTGCCTGATACAAGTGCTACTTTTTGATAAACACAGAGTGATTTCATTTGTGTTCCCATACCTCCTGTTGTGAACATGGGATACAAATAGGCCTCCCCCCCCACCCCCGCCTTTTCTTGTAGGTGTTATTGCTGGAACAAAATACTGGATTCCCATGGGTCACGTTATTTTCAGGATCAGCCCCCAAGTGAATCACAGCCACTGACTGTTGTCGGCAATGACTAAGTGAAAATCTTGTGAATTTCAATTCCTGTCACACTACAAGATTCTGCATCATTACAAGGGGCAATTTCAGAAAACATGGGCCTGTATATGGGATTGTGAGAGTATGATGTTAAACTAGGGGTCTTTCTATGCTTTTGAATTTCCTAAAGGAAAGGAAGTCGTATCCCTTTGCTTGAAAAAATCTTGCTTGGGTTTAAGGAAAAAAAAACATGGCCATTCACACTTTTATAGCAGAAAATAAGCGTCTGCATCACACCTTAATCTGGCCCTTCAAGCAAGGCTCACTGCACACCGATCGGACCATTCCACTCTTATTCATCTGAATCCTGTAGTCGTCAATGTTGAGCACACCCTCGTGCCAGGTCCCAATGAGGACATAGTCATAGCGGTTGGGCTCTATGTATTGCAAGTTCATGATGTCATACCTGCAAGGGAAAAAATAAAATGAGTCACTGTCCTGCAGCACTAAGGATAAAAAACTACCTTGCCATTCTCCTTCTGCCTCCTTAAATATTCATGTCATCCCTTAATACGAGGGAGTAGAGTTTCACAGAAACACCAAATACTGTAGAATTTGCAGCAGAATCACAGGAAATTACAGCTCCGATTGCCACGCAATTACCAATTGCCTGTCCTGCTTATGTAAAACTGTGCCAAAAAGTGCATCCAGAAGGAATTGCACATCAAAGAAAACGATGCTAAAGATGCACATGTAGGTGCTGTCTGGTGTGTTTTTCAGCCATTTTTCAAGATGTCTTTAGCATTCACTTGGTGCCTACATACAGGTTGGTTGCAGCATAGCCTCTGCTGGAACCTCTAATCAGTAGAAATACTCTAACTAAATAAACTGGTATGTCATAAGTTAACTGTAAGCACTAGTTCAACTACTTATATTACCCAGCCCAGTGATAATGTCAGGAAAAGTTGGCAACTAAGGCATAAAGTTTACTTCTTCACCCTAGGCAAGTAGGAAAGGACTTCCAAAGGTTAATGAGGAAGGATAAAACACACAATAACAGTCAGCTTCCCTGCCGCCATCATTCCTTTCCATGTGTTGGACCTGATGTGACCTTACTGCTCATTGCTCATTCTCTAACCCACAGAACGTGACTTGTGCAAAGCAGTGATTAACTGTGGTGATTTTTTAATAGAAAATAAGCAAGAATGGGAGAAAGAGTATTGGAGAGTACCCAAAGAACCACAAAAGAGACTGGACCTACAGCCTGACCTCTTGAGAAGGGGAAGAGCTTCATTTAAAAAAGGATAAGAGAAGCAGGGCTGAGAACCAAAAATCAGTGCTGGAACCAAAAATCAGTGCTGGAACCAAAAATCTTAAAGCATCTTCTGTTTCTCAAGCCTGAGATTTACTGCCCTGTTTTTCTCTACTGGATTGTCCGAGTCTCTGGGGAAAAAATCTTTTGTTTGTTATGAATGTTGCTAATCTGTATGTGCTTTAGGAATGAACTCAATAGATAGGAGTAAAACTGAGCAGGAACGTACATGCCTCTTCCTAGAAAGAAGAACCTACTTGGTTTTCAGTGTGACCTTGTATTAGACTGATACAAAATCAGTTACTCTGGGTTGGCAAATTAATTCAGGAAGGGAAGTAAAAGATTACAAAAACCCTCACATTCCCTTCATGGAATTTTCAAGCCTGCACAGATTGTTTTCATTTTTGCAAAAATATATCACAAGACACAGAGTGGCATTAATGCAATATCAATCAAGATTGGCTATTTCAGGGATATGGTTTTAGGTTGAAAGCCATTCTTATGTTTTCTTATAATACTGTTCCCTTTTCTATCAGTTATCTGTCAAAGAATGAAGTATGCAGACTAAAAGCTCTTACACAGTCTTGCATATGACAAGTTGTAGCACAATGTTTGCAACTTTGATATGCAACTTTAAGTGGAGAAAATGTGGTCTAACACACACTTGGCGTAGAGAGACACGTTTAAGTTCTTTATCCTTTCCTTCTTTTCCTTAATGAAAAATTTCTGCTTTGAGTAAGGGCAAGTTCAGTGCTGGAATACTTCCTCCCATCCCCTTGCTCACATATGTACAGATTTAATAGTTTAGGGCTAATTAGCCCGAGCTAACAGTTATTATCCTAGAAGTAGTGTGTTTGACAATAATTACGAAGCTTCATTTGACAATGAGCCCTTTGTTTGATATAAGAACAAGCTCTCTGCCATACTGGGAAATGATGGGACCGAGTAGGTGGTGTCAAATGAACGAGTCACTTGTGAGGTGAGCCAGAATATTAGCCAGCTGGTCACAGGCACAATCCTACTCCGGTTAGTCTGAGCTAGCTGAAGTTACCTTTTTCCATAGCCATAATACTAAACTGCCATTGAGGTTTGCTATCCTGGAAGCCAGAATGGAAACCAGCAATGATGAGCAATGCCGGGCTGTAACTGGCCAAAACAACCACCCATGAAAACAAACTTCAAAACTACCAAGTATATTTGAAAAAGAAGATCCTCCACCTACAAGTTTGAAGTCTTTGTATTATTCATTAGATAATGTAATCAAAGCACAGGAGTTGATAGAGTTCCCACATCTGAAGTCAGAACAGCTATTTTAAATTTTGAACTAGGCTTAAATGGGTCTACGTCCAAGTCTAGTTGTGGTAAAACAAACACCAACATTTCTGTTAGCTTGTGAACCTCAGCTTTTCTCCACGTGTCAGAGGTCCATTGTAGGGATTGAAAGTTCTCCTCCCCATTGTTGGATAATGTTTTATGGTCAGAGACCTAGGCAAATTGTTTGTCCTAGAGAGGTTTCTTCATACCTGCCATAAGCTGAAAGTAGGCAGTCATCCTAGAACAGACAAGAGCTCAAAATGTATCTGTCCCTTGCCCCTTCTGTAGGACAAAAGAAGGATGTGGTGTTGACTACTGTATCTCTCACACCTTCTCAAGCCATTTGTGGGAATCTGAGTGATATGATTAGTATTGAAAAAACAAATGGGAGGTACTCAATGAAAGTTAAAATGTCAGCAATTTTACCACTATGTTCTTAATGACAGTATAGTGAGCCCATACTGTTGATTTTCCAGTGTTGCATTCATGTCATTTTTCCTGAAGGCAGTGCAGTCAGTTAAGTGACTGAATTTGTGCCCTTCTGATAAAGGTCTGCTTCACATTTCTGCATAAAACCTCTTCAAATAAAAGATTCTGCACAGAAGAAATAAGCCTTTGAAAATGTGCTTCATGTTTTCTAATCTCATCTTGATGAAAGCTGTAAACCATAAACTGAGCCTGAAACAGAAAAAATGACACTTAAATTATACAATGAAGAAGCTATAAGGGGTTCAAAACAGGAAATTGAGTGTCAGGCAAACATAACTACAGGTATCTCTGTCTGCTCTCCCCATGACTGTAACTGGGAGCTTGTGAGTGTCAATTGCTCAAAGAACCTCATGGATTTTGAAAATACGGTATGAGGAAGTTTGCTGCCTTCTAAGAAGGAGGATGGATTTACTCCATCTTGTGAAGATGATTTGTTCACATTATATGGTAAAATTATACCAAAAAACTTTTTGCACATTTCTGTGACATTCCTGCACGGACTAAAAAAAAAAAGTATATTTCAGCTCTATGCTGTATTTATGTGTTGTACATGGCATTTATCTTTCCATTTTGCAGAAGTACAAAAATTCTTCTGGGTATTGAAACAGTGCTACAGTCAGTTCACTCATCCACAAAGAGCTCTTCCATGTGGAGCTGTGGGACCACTAGAGTTAATCTGGAGCTAAATAAAATCTGCATGGGCAGAAACTACTGCTGGCATACAAGGAACTGACAGACTGTACAGATTACATTTTGTATACACATTGCCATTCTATGCTATGATATTGCCCACAACAGAAATGCCACAGACTGACCTGAGGATTACAGCCTAAATAACAAAAAGGTTAATTGAACTTTCTTGTCCAAACTTGCTAACTCCAGCTGTGAAAATATAAAAGACGAACAACAAAAAAACCCACCCTACCTAAAATAACCCATCAAGTTCTAAATAGGCCAGGGAAAAAGAGAAATGAACCTTGCTACAGGCCAAAATGATGGATGGAATAAATTCTGAAATTCTGACCTACTCAAAGAAATATCCTGAAGGAAACTCCCCAATATTTTGAACTCAAGAACTGTTCATTTTAATTCTATGCTTGGTACTGATGAGAACTGCCCAGGTGAGAAGACAGTAAATAAGATTTGGGCTAAAATTGGAAAGTTACACCAGAACATGAAACCAAATAACTAACAGGCAGACAATGCAGCATATGCAAGGCTGGAGTAATGCTTTTACGGAGATAAATAGTGTATAATAAACTCAAAGCTACACTAAGCAGTTACTTCTCTGTATTATTTAAATTCTATGTGCAGACTTGATTTAAGCAGTTGTGTCAATAAGTATGTGCTTGAGTGTAAGGGAACTGCTTGCTTCTACTTTCAAAGTCTGACCTATCTCATCTACATCTTTGACTAAAAAAGTCTGAAGTATACAATACTCAACAAGGAGATCAAACTGACAAGCTTTTTATTACTATTTAAACGTAACAACCTATTTAAATGTATGTACTGTTTAAATATAAAAAACAATGCAAATAGCAAACGGCAAAAATGATCAGTTCTGCAAATAAAGAGTTGTTTTGGAGGCTGCTGTGTCTTATGAATACTCTTTGAAGGCATAGGCTGGACTGCAAACTTTTGTTTGTTCCAGAGGTCTCTCTTTGTGCAGTGCTGGTGCTCAGATGCATTTATGCAGTAAGCCCAAAGATGGAGTGAGAGAGTCTTTAATAACACTTTAATAACTGATTAGGAAAACTAACTCCAATGAAGTAACCCCTGAGTAGGTTTCAGTTAATAATGGATTGTGTACCTCAGCAGCTAAATTGATTTATTTATAAATTAAAAAAAAAAAAAAGAAAAAGAAAAAAAGAAAAAAAATCAATCTGGGAAGTGTCGCACTTAAAATAGCCCACAGAACTAAATGAAGAGGAAAAGATTTCTGTCGGCTCCTGTGAAAGAAACAAAGGTGACATCCAAGTCCCCAGGGCTGCTGCCTCACCCATCGTTCGTGTACACAGTGTGTCTGCAAGGGAAGGGTAGACAGTAGCAGCTACTACAGCTGGAATTTGGCAGACCTCAAATGAGTGAACCACAACACATTCTGCCAAATAAAAAACCAAAACACAACTATTTTCCTGCTCTGCTCAGACCTATCTTTAAACTCTGGGACAGCCAATCTTATTTGCACTGAAACAAGGAGAGCACACAGGAGTTCACCAAGCAGAACCACTTCAGAAATCTCTTTCACCAAACCCAGCAACCTTCTCCCTTCCCAACATCTGGTTTAACTAGTTGAGATGAAACATTTCTTTACCTTCCAGGGGCATCTCCCTTTTCATCAAACCAGACTTCTTCTCCAGAAACACCGATGAATGAGGATTTGAGGAGGAACTCCAAGAGCTTGCTGCCATCAATTGGCTTCATAGCATCACAGAGCCCAACATGTCCAGGGCAAAGGGAATGATGCATATTTTGTAGCCCGTGAGCCATAGCATATATAGCATTGATGACAAATCCCATTTTACTGTCCTGCACATAGTTTTCTTCTAGGCTCTCATTGCCTAAAATAGTAAGAAAAAAGTGTTGCTATAAGCAGAGATAAAATAACATGAAAATAAAAAAAGCAATGAAATAAAGAGTTTTTCTTATTTCTCTTATAAAGCTTTAGAAGCATAAACAATGTGCCAGCCAAAGATTTTAATTAAATAAATGAAAAAAAAACTCTTTTTCACCCAGAAATCTTTAATTCATCGAAAGAGAAATGCCCCATGAAAAAGCACCAGTTTAAGCAAATCGTCAGCTTTAATTTGTTCTTTTTGATTTTTTCCTTGTCATTCCACAGTGCTCTTTCTGCTAAGAAGGTTTAAACAGGCCAGAATCAGAATTTCAGCTAGAACAACTTTTAAAAACAATTTGCTTATAAATTTGACTTTTTGTCACATATGAAGACTTTCATTTTTTTCAAATCTCATGCTTTAGAGGGCCAAAAGAGCCACATCCCTTTCAGTGTTAATAAGCAAACAACCTAAATCAGTATCACTTCTTCGGTTATCAGAAATAGTCATTTTAGCTAGAAGTAGTAGTAGATATGCTAATTTGGGATTGCTACAGAAAGTAAAATGAAGTTTGTAAGGCTGAAATACTTTTTATGTAACTGCAGCATGAGCAGACACTGAAGTCTCTGTCTGTTGATCAGAAACGATGTGACAGTAAAGGTTTTCCCCAGACATAGGTTTTAGCTCTGACGGGCTGATGTGCAGGCACTGCCCAAGGGTGCCATTTGTGACTGCATTTCACATCAGACCCCACTGGGTCCTGGGCCCTTCCCACGTTTCTGACGAGAGCTGCTGAACGCTGTCAGTGCTAGCCCCAAGTCACAGCAGACCTGTGCTGCAGGGGTCCTGAGGGAGCTGGAAGTAAGAACATGTTTCCCTCCCCCTGAGTCATTCTATCACAATATGCTCCAAAATGCAAGATGCTTTTATCTGTAGACCTCCCACGTTACTCAGTGTTTAACAGGCATTTGCAATCCAGTCTCTTTGTCTAAGTAACACCTTGTCTACACTAGGAAAGTAGGATGTGTGAGAGACTAGGTGTTAACTGACACTTTTCAAATTCAGGTTGGAGAAGATAGTTGTCATTTTAATATGAAGAAAAGGGGAAAATCTTCAAGTTCACTGAAACTTTCAAGTTAAAATAATAGTTCCTTCCCCTAATATAGATCCAATACGTCCTTCAAATCAAATCATGAAGTCCCTCCTTCCATTTATCCTTGGAAAAGGCTCTGATTTGGTAAGTCTTCTTGACTTGTTTGCGCTGTATCAGCTGGGAATTCATTATGACAGCAAAGATCCCAAAGGCAGGGATTTCTAGCTTGCTTTCTCTGGGTGTCTCTCACACAGGACAGTGATTGCAAGTGTGCAAGAAAATCTTTCTTCAGTGACTATTTTCCAAATAAGCTGAGCACTGCAAACAGCTGTAATGCTGAATTAAAAAATCCTTCTGAAAACAGCATAATCTGACAGAATGGGCTCATGTGCTCCTCTCTCTGCCATACATTCACCACCAGCACCACCAAGCAAGGAGTGGCTGGAGAGATGTTCCCTAGAGGCACCTGCCTCCTTCTTTGCATGAAAAGATTCATCGCTCCCATTCAAATTGTGTGAAACCAATACTAAGATCCATGTTCAGAAACACAGCAAGAATAGAAACCTGATATGTAAGATGACAGAATATCTATACAATAGGAAGCAGAGAGTATGCCAGTGCATTTATCTTCTCTTAGGCACTGCATATAGTATATATGGCATAGTCTAGATGCTTGTTGCCTGAATAGGTTAATGTGCTATCTGAATATACTGTCTCTAGGTGTGTTTTATTGTTGGTTAGACCCCTTAGGATGGATACACTGTGAATTTATCACTGGTTATGCTTTGCTGCAGATAGAAAATGAATATGTGACCCATTCCTATGTGAAAGACAGATGGAAAGCCCCTGTTCTTAGTACGACTGTCCTCTCTTGTGAAGCATCTAGGCAACAAGTTGCAGAAGAGATCACATGAGTGATAATGCACAGTACTCACTGTTAACTGTTTTCTACCTGAGAGTTTATCTCAGATACTTCCTTGCTTTCTTAGTTAATAAAAAAAAAAGGGGAATGTGACACTTACACAAGATGATGATAGCTTCCACATGTGTTTCCTGAGGCAAGCATTCATGTGGCTGCTTGAGGTAGAAAACTACATGTAATAGAGCTTGCCAGCATTTTAAAAGAGGCCATTTCCCTCAAGCATGTATTAACTCAGTAAAGCATGCATTCGGTTTCTCACATTTCAATACAACAGGCATACCTCCAAAAAAAAAAAAATTGATGATGGGAGAATTTGCTTTTGACTAATTAGGAGTGAACATGTAGTTTACATTAAGGCTCCATGCATATAGTCCCACTGTGGAGGTGACTGCCTAAGGTCACCTGTAAATAGTTGTACTGTGGTGGAAAACAACATGTGAAGTATATGGTAATAAACATCTCTGTATGTAAATAAGATATTTTCCAGTAAATCCAGTCTGAGAAGTCATGCTTTATCTAAACTTAACTTCCTGCAGTCAAAATCGCTTTTATCTCATTTTCATCATTAGCAATTATATTATTAGCAATAATTACAGAAATTGTTTATATACTTCTGTATTTAGCTTGTAAAAATTTACTTAGGACAATCAGTAAGAAATGTGTGTATATTTTAAAACAAATGAAATCATGTAATTGTGTTCATTCAGAGACAAAACAGAGGCAATCAATGTTCAATTAAGTTTTCACAGGACAACACTTCAAGAGCTGCAAGAACTATATTATGTTTGCTGTCAGGCTTCTGTGTAAAGTTATGCTTATCCTCTGTAGGTCTTTGAAATATAACAAATGGCAAAGCAGAACTCTGGACTGTGAATCTTTTATTTTTCCTTCCTCTTTCATCCTTCAGAAAAATGACCATTGATCTACAAAGACTAATTTGAACACTAGGGTTTATTAACATTAAAAATAGAAAAGTATTTTGTTAGGTTTTGGTTGGTTTTTTTTTAAGGGACCTTCACTTCCACTAAGAGAAGGAAAATTTGGAGCCATGTGAGTACTGGGTTAATTGAAGTCACTCAAATTAGGCCGACACTTTTTTGAATGACCTTGAAGAGTTCAGGTGCCCTAAATTTCGTACTTATTTTTGTATTGGATGCAATAAAAATCTTCCTCTAATAATTTCAATTTAACAGTTACTCAATAGTCTTTTTTCTTATCTTAGTTTTGGTTTTAGTCTTTGTTTCTGTCAGTCAATCTTAAAGCTGAAAAAGGAGGGGGTATATACACACATACACTACTAAAACAAACCAAACTAAACCAAACAAAACCCCTCAAACCCAAATACCATGCCGTGGCTGCACACAACTGACAAATGTTCCCAACGCTGCTAAGAGTAATACTTAAGCAGAGGGGGAAGGAAGGGGGACCAAAATTTTGTGAAACTCACTGTGAGTCTTTCGTTTTACCATATTGTGCCTCACATCTAATATCAGCTTCAGCTAGGTCCTTTGAAGGACCTGAATGTAAAGCAACCATGAATTTAGTCTAGTGCCTTTGTTGTGGAGTCACTGCAGAACTAACAGTGTCCTCAAGAGCATAGTGTGTATTTGTGCAAATCCTACTCGACAAACTGAAGAAAAATTATACTATGAGAATTATGGCTAGAAAGTATTTAACTTGCATGTATTAGGATAGGAGAAGTCTATGCTAATATTCAGTAAGAAATTAAGCACAAAAGATTATTCATTTGCAGTTCTCAGAATTACTAGGGTAGGAAGGCATTTGGGATGGAAAGAAATGTAAAAAACATTTCGATTGGGGGCTCTGATCAAAACCTAGCCAGTTGGTAAATTCTGAACAAACACACATTTGATGAAGAACACAGTCTGTTCACAGACGACTCCTGATTAGAATAAAAGGCAAAATGTGTTTAATAAAATTGTGATAAATTATAATGTTTCATCTGGAATAGGCAGATTTGTGGTTTATTACTAACTGTTATCTGTTGAATATTCAAGCTCACATCCAGTTAGCAAGTATTATGAGAGCTATCATCTTTTCTGGTGGTACTTACAAAGGTCTGAAAATCTTAGAAATTGTATACACTGCAGTAGCCAGGTCAATTTCTAGTCGGGTTTAGCTCTTGTAATTTTCTCCCTGCATAACTTCGCAACATCTTTGTAGTCCTCCTGATTGCCTCCCCCTTCCTCAAAAGGTCATACATTTTCTTTTTTTTCCTGAGTTTCAGCCAAAGCTCTCTGCTCAACCAGGCTGGTCTTCCTTGGTGGCTTGTCTTTTGGCACACTGTCAGTAATGGCTAATCCTCTGAATAACCATGCCAAACTAATATTCTATGAAATAATTTTTGAAGAGGTTTCATTTGTTTGAACTCTTTTGCCATTATTGGTTCAAATATTTTACAAATATTGCCAGTTCACTCCCTCTTACATTCCATTTATAACTTCTCCTACATTATCTAACAAAGATAATAAAATTATTTAACAATTTTCACTTTAAGGCACTGCAAAATGAATAACAGATTATAAAGTAATTAGTATAACAATGTGTTCACAACCTGTGCACTGCCTTCTTCAATTCACATCACCTTCTTAATAACAAGTGTGTTCTGTTCATTAATATTGTATAGCTGAATCAAATCCTCACATCCTGATGGTATAAAGAGGACTTGTCTACGCTGCTGCACTCATTACCATAGAATCATAGAATCATAGAATGTGTTGCATTTGAAAGGATCTTAAAGATCACCTGGTTCCAGCCCCCCTGCCAGAGGGACACCTTCCACTAGACCAGGTTCTTGAAAGCCCCATCCAACCTGTCCAAAGGGAAGTCACAGGCAGCAAGTCAGATGAGTGAAAGTTTTCTGTATGGAAACATCCAAACACCCATCTTTTTCATCCCACAATCAACGGTAGAGCTACAAGAATTTCTGAAGTTCTGTTTTCAGAAGTAAGTGGCTATTTTCCAGGCAAT